ATTGCTTGGTATCGCCTTGCCTTCCTCTCCATTAGAAGGTGTTATATCTACACCATTTATTTCTTCTTTTATTGTTCTGCTGTTGTTGTCATTTTGAGATTAACTGCTCTGATTTCATGTTGTATTTCTTTCGGTTTTGGATAGTCCTTGAGAGTTCATTTCTTATATTGGTATCTGGCTGGTAAAATCGTGCATTCTAGATTTAGCCTGTGAGCTGAATTTGTTTGTTCTCAGATCAAAGGACTCCCTTGTAGGTTTGGTTTGGTTTTTATATATTCCCTTAATTTCTGTTCATCTGGAAATGTCCTAATTTCACCATAATATTGGAACAAGAGTTTTACAGGATATATTATTCTTGGCTGGCAATTTTTTTTCTCTCAACGTTTTCTATATAACATCCCATTGCCTTCTTGGCTGCATTGTTTCTGCTGAATAATCTGAGCTTAGTCTTGTTGTTTTTTCTCTGTATGTGACTTCTTGTTTTTCACAAGCTGCTCTCAGTATCCTTTGTTTGTCTTTGGTTTGGGTGAGTGTGATTATGATATGCCTTGGTGATTTTCTTTTGGGAGTCTATCCTATATGAAGATCCTATATGAGGTTTGTTGAGCCTCTTGGATGGCCACCTTTTCATCTTTCATGATTTTGGGGAAGTTTTCTGTCAGCAGTTCTTCAGTGATCCTCTGTGTTTTCTCTTTTCTCCTCCTGTTCTGGAACTCTGATCACTTGCAAATTTTTGCTTTTGGTTATATCCCACATAATTTTCAGGGTCTCTTCATTTTCCTTTGTTCTTTTTTCTGAGTTTTCCTCAAACAGAGTTGTATCCAAGTGTTTGTCTTCAATTCTACTGATCCTGTCTTCCACCATTTCAGATCTGCTCCTCAGCCCTTCTATGACACTGTGCATTTCTGAAATCTTGTTATTTATCTTTGGTTTTATAATTGTTGTTTTTGTATAATTTCTAGTTGTGAATTTATTTTGGCATTTTGTTCCTGCATTATTTTCCTGAATTCTTCCATTTTTTGGTCTGTACTTTCCATGAATTTGTCTGCCTTTTCCATGAATTTGTCTATTTTTTCCTCATTTTTGTCTGCTCTTTGCTTCAACTCTTCGATAATTCTGAGTATTAGAGATTTGAATTCCCTATCCGGTAGTTGTAGTGCCTTTTCTTCCACTGGAAAGTCATCTGGAGTTTCATTTTGGATGCCTACTGGAACCATCCTGCCCTGTTTTTGTAAATGTTTTGATATTGTTTGCTGTCTTCGGGGCATTGAGTAGTTATTTTTCTCATTTTTTGTTTGTAGATTTGTTTGTTTCGTCCTTTTTTTAAATTTGGCTATGTCTGAGCAGGCGGGCTGTGTGTTCTTTGTTGTTTGCTCATCTGGGCATGATACTTTTCACCTCCTTCTCCAATTGGTAGGGTCAGTCACTTAGATATGGTATGGCAGGGTAGGTCTAGCTGAAGAGTAGTTGGCTGGGATGGGTTGTTTGTGGCACTTACTACAGCCACCAGGGTGGGTCAGTAATCAGTGCAGGGCAGGTTCCGGTAGGCCGTGCCTGTGTTGCTTGGTGGTGTGATGTTAAGTGCATGGTGCAGGTAGGCAGGTTGGAGGGGGGAGATTATGAATTGTGGAGCTAATATGGATATGGGAGAGAGGAGAGAGGAACAGTAGCCAAAAACATACAAACAGAAAAGAGTGCTAGGGGAGCTTGCCATTGGAGTGGAGAGATGAGGGACTATGAAACAGAGAAAAACAAAAAAGGGAAGAAGAGAAAAAAGAAAAGAATGAATATATAAAAATTAGAAAGAAAAAAGAACAGCAAAGCTCCCAGGGATCCCACTGGTGCGGCTACGAGGTCTGGGGATGTTGTTCCCAGGTGTTGAAGTACAGCCTGGCTAGAAGGCATAGAGGTATTCAGGGCCAGGTATTCAGGGGACAGGGTATAGAGAGATGAGAAACTGAGTAATGAAGGAAGACAAAAAAGGAAAAAGAAGGAAAAGAAAACAAAACAAATTTTTTTTAAAAAAAAAGAACAAGACAAGTCCCCAGAAAAACAACAAAAAAAACCATGAAAAAAGAAATGTCCTCAGGGATTGCTCTGTGCGTCTGTGCAAGCTGAGGGGGTAGGTCCCAAGCTGCACAGCACTTCCAGGCCAGAATGCGCTCCCAACTTGAGCAAAGAAAAAGAAAATAAGCAAACAATTTAAAACAAACAAACAAAAAGCCCCAGGATACCACCAGCATGGCAGCACAGACTGGGGAGCAGTTCCACACTCAAACAGAGCTCCGCAGCTCCTTAGAAAGAAGCAAAGATGGTGCATTGAGCCAGGTATTTGAGGGAAAGGAAGGGGAGGTGGTGAGAGGTAAGGAAGAAATCAAAAGAAGTGGAAAAAAGCAACACCAGCAGCCAACAAATGGCACTCAGGGAGTCGGCCAGTGCGAGCGGGTAGAATCCAAGCAGCCAGTGCTTTCTGGCCAAGAGACTGTGGCCGTGGGAAGCAGAGGAGACCAACTGGGGTGAAGAAGGTTGTGGGGTGGGAAAGCATGTATCGCCAATTACCGGTTGTTCTGTCTCCTGCTGGAAGCTCCATGAAGCTGCTTTCTTGTACCCCCATTTGCTGTTCTCTGGTAGGAGTCCAAGATGGCGGATCCAGGCTGCGTTAGCTGATAGGGGACCTCTTCATGTATGTCTCCTCGCTCTCTGTTCTCTGTCCGTTTCTTATTCCGTTTGGTGCTTGGCTGGGTTCTTTATCTCTTCATTTGACGTTTAGGATTTCAGGATTGCTGTTTTCTCTGTCTGGCTTAGTTTTTCGGGTCTTTGCTGTGGAGGGATGGCTTGGTGCCTCTGCCTCGAGCACAATGTTGCTGGAAGCCTCCCATTCTATCTTCTTTTGATGCTTCCTGCTTCATTTAATATTTTCCCCATAGAATCCTTCACTATTGCAACTCCAGAGGCCTGAGTTTTTCCTTCAGTTCTTTCAGCTTGAGAAATGTCAAGCATGTTCTTCTCTTTTGGTTTTCTATCTCTAGCTCTTTGCACATGTCATTATAATACTTTACTCTGTCTTCTCGAGCCACCTTTTGAAATCTTCTGTTCTTTTACCTCATCATTTCTTCCTTTTTCATTAGCTACTTGATGTTCAAGAGCATGTTTCTGAGTTTTTTCTGATATCCATTTTGGTCTTTTCTTTCTTGCCTGTCTTTTTAATGACCTCTTGCTTTCTTCATGTATGATGTCCTTGATGTAATTCCACAACTCATCTGGTCTTCGGTCATCAGTGTTCAACATGTCAAATCTATTCTTGACGTGGTCTCTTAATTCAGGTGGGATATACTCAAGGTCATACTTTAACTCTCATGGACTTGTTATAATTTTCTTCAGCTTGAACTCGAACTTGCACATGAGCAATTGATGGTCTGTTCCACAGTTGGCCCCTGGCCTTGATCTGACTGATGATATTGAGCTATTCCATCGTCTCTTTCCACAGATGTAGTCTATTTGATTCCTGTGTATTCCATCTGGAGAGGTCCACATGTATAGTCACTGTTTATGTTGGTGAAAAAATGTATTTGCAATAAAGAAGTCATTGGTGTTGCAAAATTCTATCATGTGATCTCCAGCATCATTTCTATCACCAAGGCCATATTTTCCAATTACTGATCCTTCTTCTTTGTTTCCAACTTTCACATTCCAATCACCAGTAATTATCAATGCATCCTGATTGTATGTTCGATCAATTTCAGACTGCAGAAGCTGGTAAAAATCTTCAATTTCTTCATCTTTGGCCTTAGTGGTTGGTGTGTAAATTTGAATAGTAGTCGTATTAACTGATGTTCCTTGTAGGCATATGGATATTATCCTATCACTGACAGAGTTGTACTTCAAGATAGATCTTGAAATGTTCTTTTTGATGATGAGTGTGACACCATTTCTCTTCAAGTTGTCATTCTTGGCATAGTAGTCATATGATTGTCCAATTCAAAATGGCTAATACCAGTCCATTTCAGCTCACTAATGCCTAGGATATTGATGTTTATGCATTCCATTTCATTTTTGATGATTTCCAATTTTCTTAGATTCATACTTTGTACATTCCACTTTCCAATTATTAATGCATGTTTGCAGCTGTTTCTTCTCATTTTGAGCTGTTTCTTCTCATTTCATCAGCAAATGAAGGTCCCAAAAGCTTGACTCCATTCACGTCATTAACGTTGACTCTACTTTGAGGAGGTAGCTCTTCCCCAGTCATCTTTTGAGTGCCTTCCAACCTGGGGGTATCATCTTTCGGCACTATATCAATGTTCCACTGCTATTCATAAGGTTTTCACTGGCTAATTCTCTTCAGAAGTAGACTGCTGAGTCTTTCTTCCTAGTCTGTCTTAGGTAGCTGAAACCTGTCATGGGTGACCCTGCTGGTATCTGAATACTTGTGGCATATAGCTTCCAGCATCACAACAACACGCAAGTCCCCACAGTAGGACAAACTGACAGACACGTGGGGGTTGGATTTATTAAGATCTGAAAAATATCAGTATAAAGAAGTATCAGTACAAAGCAAACTTTTAGTAGCTCTATCTTTTGTTGGTACAGTAAGAAGGAAATATGTGGCACTATCCAGGGCATATATGGTGGGGGGAGACAATCTACTTAGCCAAAGCACAAGTGTTGGTGTTTGTGTTTTTTAGGTTATTAGTAGGAGAGGACTGAATTTTACACTCCATCTCCCAGAAGTGGTCTGCTTGTTTTGACATAAATGCATCATGGCCCCTGGGGTTTTCCTGGGTTTAGTTCTGTAAATGTGTCAAGACTATATCAATTTTAGGCTCTTATTCATCTTATGAAACAATTTATAAATGGTATCATTTAGAAAAAGCCAGGGGGAGGAAAAAAAGTAGCCAGTCAGCTCATTTTTAGATTTTCAGTTGAATATTTGACAGTTGTGTTGTTTTTTTCTTTTTCCTACACGGCAGATAACATTCTTTGATTCTTTTTCAAACCAGCTTGATTGTTCAAGCCACAGACAAAGGGATGCCCCAGCTTTCTGCTACAAGTGTGATGGAGATATAGGTGACTGACATAAATGACAATGCCCCAGCTTTCCTTCCCTCAGAAGCCGTGGAAGTGGCCGAAAGTAAGTATGGCAATTCAGAGTAGTGATTTTGATTAATTTGTATAGTATCATCTACCATTTTTTCAGGCAGACACTATAATATATATGAGTACTAATCCTCAACAACCATGCAAGATAGATAAGTTTTATCTTCATTTTGCAGAATAGGAAAAGGATGGTCAGAAGTTAAATATTAAATGTGAATGAAGTGAAATATTAAAGCTGGGATTTGCATTCAGATTAGCAGGAGGTCAATTCCCTGTGCTGTGTCCACTATTCCACACAGTCGATATTTGTGTGCAGACATTTCTTAAAAATAGAACCACCTCTAAACAGTTTTTAGATCTACGCTATGAAGAACCGTATTTTGTTGACTATGAACAGTCCTGAAGTTCCTCTGAGATGCAACAACGTTCTTAGACTCATAACTTTGTCAATCTTTGCAGTATACTAATGAAAATAAATTAAATAAATTGAAAGTTGGTTGCATGAGGTGATGATTTTCCCCTATATTTCAACATTTGCAGAAAATTTTTACCACATTAATGCTAATGTTGAAAATATAAAGTTTTAAGTGATACATGGACTAATCTTGATTGATTGGGTCTATACGATGACTGTGCAGTTTGTGATCTTAAAGTTATCAGTGGTCAATGGCTAATGCTGGTAAAACCCAACTCAACTCTTTTTGCAGCTGAAGCTGATAATAGTGGTGGTCTCTCTCTTGCATCTCTTTTTCTCCTTTCACTCATAATACCAAAAATCCTCCTACTGTTTTGTTATGTTCACTTTGCAAATAAATTATAACCATCACCACTCAAAGTGGAATGTATTCCAGATAATCTCTATACATATGGATCCCTACAAGTATTATATTCTACCAATTTTTTTAAAAAAAACTCCTGCCTCTTACCTGTTTGATATATGTTCATTTGCCTTTATTGAAAATACTATTTTTTAATACACATGCATTGGTGTTAAAACACAACAGTGTACCAAATATATCACAAGAACAAACTACATAAATCATAACATAATGAGTGGAGTAGGATGTAGTTGGTGCACATTAAGAATGTTCAAGCTTGAAATCAGAAATTTATGGGCTTCATTTACAATGGGGCTATTCTGAGTATCTTGGCATGTTCTCCACCTGCACCATACTGATAAGCTTAAAGACAAAGTCCCTTTCATGGGCAATTTAGGCTGGAGAACACATACGGTATGTGAGACATTGAGCTTGTCATAAGACTGTGACTTTTTTTGCTGAACAATATTAGAGATTTGCTTTCATCACTGGTGCTATGTATACTTGGTCTTTCCATAAGCTTGACAATTTTAAAAATTAAATTTTAACGGAAGGAAGCCATGTATGTGCCATTCCAAAAGAAATAATATTACAAAAATAAGTACAAGAAATAAGTATCTATTTCTAACTTCAGTATTCAAATATTTTCATTGAAATCTTGCCTACTTTCCAAAAGTTTATGTTTTGTATTAATGTTTTAAGTAATAGCTTTCTTCCAATCAACCTCTTCCATGAATATATCATTTTGATACTATATAGTGCAAATAAGTGATTTAGAATGGCTTAGAATAAGTGGTTTAGAATGGTTCTTTGTTCTAGAATTAATTGTATTATAAGCATATGATGAAAAAAATGTAATATAAGAATTGAATATACCTTACCTCCTCAATTCCCTACTCAGTGGTAAATTTTTGCCTTTATTGGGCTCATAAATTCTTCAGAGTTTTTGTTCCGTTCATAACAAGCTATGCGTGGGAAATCATGCCAAGAAACACCAAATCACATTGGACTTAAACTAAAAATGCTTGGCTTGAACTATTAAAGAAAAGTATTTCAAAGGATGTACTTTAATTGAGGCTGACATTGGTCATGATATTTCAGATTCTTTGCCTGGTGTAATTGTGACTCAGGTATTAGTTCATGACGTAGATTTGAATCCAGCTTTCATCTTCAGTTTCACCAAAGAGAATAATCCTGGAATCAAGTTTATTGCTGATCAGAACACTGGGATAGTGATGCTGGTGAAAACATTGGATTTTGAAGAAGCTACTGAATATGAGCTGCTCATCCAAATTTCTGATTCAGTGCACTACACAGAGGGAATGCTCATGGTCCATGTGTTGGACGTCAATGATAATCCACCAGTGTTTTCTCAAGATTTCTATCAGGTTAAGAGCTTAGAGAGACGCTGAAACCAGGGCCAAAACTAGAAAGAACAATCTAGGATGTCCATTGTTGACAGACAATTTAGGTAAACAGTATTCACTATTTTTAGTGCCTAAGTTAATGCTGTGGGTTTCATATTTAATGTCATGGAAGCTGTAAGATAATTTAAATACATGTGGAATTGAATATTTCATTAAATTAAGTTCTGTAAGTCTGTATGTTATAATTTTTTAGTTTTTAGAGATCAGAGTCCGATTGTGATTAACATTGAGCTTGCCTAACATTTGCAAAGCCATAGATAAGACAATAAAGGTAGTTTGGGCTATCTATAAATAATACAGGAAAGTTCTTTTTTTTCTAGGCATATGTTTGGAATATGTTGATTAATATCTTGCAGAAACAAATTGCGAATGAAACTGTAGAGTGGTTAATTTGAGTTTTTAGAGCACACTGTATATTTCTAGAAGTAAGAACAATAATAGCATTCAGCTAAGCAACTTGATGGCAGCTAACAACAACAAGTGCTTGGAAAAGGGCCCCAGGACTCTTGAATGTAGCAAATGCAAGAATTAAGTGTAAACACAGCCAGGAAACTGTCCTAAGTAATGATCTGCCGTGAAGGCTTGTTTGAATTATTTTTTATAGCAGTGAATACATTAACTCTTTTCTGCTGCATAGAAATACTTTAGAAGGAAAATTTTTCATAATAAAAATTAAAACAGAATGAAATTAAATTTGTTTACTTTTTCTGAATCCTGGGATTACTAGCACAATCTTTTTAACATGTCAACTCTGCAAATTAATATGCCTCAGGAAGTCAAATTCTGTGTATAGTTTCCACAGTCACAGTGAATAATATCTCATATTCTGGCCCTGTTTATGAAAATATCTTTAGCCTTTAAGCAAAATGTTCTTTTTCTTTTTTTCTCTCAGGTCAGTACCTGTGGGGTACTCAGTGCTGACTTGTCAGCCACAGACGTGGACAACAAGAACATTTCTTACAGAATCCTTTCCTCTCCTATGGAGTTCTCAATTGACCCTGTGAATGGTGAATTATTTATAGTGGCTTTAGTGTTCATTTAGGTTTGAGTTACAGAGAGGAAACTCGAAATAACCCTTCCCAAATGCTCTTAAAATAGCTTCCACCCCCACCCCCCTGGAACTAGATACCACCCTCTTACTTCTCTTCACATCAAATGTTGAAGGAGAAAGTCTCAGTGTTATTTCTCTTCTCCAACACCTCAACCATGGCTGGAAAGCAAAAGGAATCAATCAAATGCTAGTAAATGCACAGAAGTTCGGAGGCCCCAATATAGTAAACACCCTCTCCCTCAGTCCAGCCAAGAAGAGTTCAAGTAATTATCCCAAGCCTCAACTAGAATCAAAATGAAGTCCAAGGGATTAATTTAGTACTGAGCACTTAATGTTACTAGAATTTGAAAGCCTTTCTTCCAAGCCAAGAAAAAAGAAATTCAGTAATAGCATCATCTGTACAATAAGGACAATAAAAATTGAAATAGGAAAGTGACTTGAGCATCTCTCTTAAGTAAAACCCATTGTGGTGTACTGGTTTGCTTGATGCCTTTCAAGGCTCTTATATTTTTATCAGAGAGCAAGACATTCGTGCTTATGAAATGCATTCAGGCAAGTGATTCCAGATTAGAGCAAAAAGTTTTAACAGTGAGTGGACATTAAATGCTGGATTTGGTAGAGGAACAATTACACAACACTGTTCCCAGAAGAGCACTTTCTAGAAGAGTGGAGCCTAGGGCACATCAAACTGTGTGCTCCCTGTCTCTACCCACCATTATGTCATTTCATATGTGAGATCTGATTTAAAAGTTAATCTCTGGATTACCTGAAAGGAGAATTTAGTCACAGGTTTCAGTATGAGGCCCACGGTGTATTGTAACGGGGGGAGGCTGCCGCACAGCCTGCAGATGACTGGCTGTTGTATGGATATAAACCAGTGGGAAGTTTGGCTCCTCTGCTTCCCTCCCCTCCACTCCACTCCTTCCCCTCCCCTCCCCTCTACTCCCCTCCTTCCCCTCCTTTCCCCTCCCCTTCTCTTTCATTTTCTTCTCTCCCTTCTCCTCTCCTCCCCTCCACTCCCCTTCTCTTCCCTTTTCACTCCTGCCTTTTCCTCTCCTCTCTACTCCTCGCTTCCCCTCCCCTCCTCTCCCTCCTCTCCTCTGCTGGCCCTGGCCCTGACCACAGTGAATCTGTGTGCCAGGTGGTCTCTCTGAGCACTAAATCTTAGTGACATTTTTGCTTGACGTGTTATCAATAAACTTTGCAATGAGTTATTGATTAAATGTTTTTAAAACATTAAGTATTACCAGGTCAATTTAGCTCATGGTGAAAATTTAACTGAAGTGTGGTATTTAAATGTCAACATTCTGTATTCTTTTTTGATTACCATACCTAAAACACAGTTTTCTTAGAAAAATACTGTTACATACATATTTACAAAAAGTACATATTGGATTTGAAACAATAGCTTATATTAAATATATTTCATCGGTAAAGGAAGAATTCATTTGCTGAAATAACCAAGAGCTTTTGGAAAGACAGTTCTATATTTAAGCAACAGTTGTAACTCTGCATTATCATATTTCCTACTCTCGTTTGACGAGAGTGAGTGTCAACCAGTATATCCAGAAAAAACGTCTTTGTGCCAGAATGTCTCCCTACAAGTGCTTATGGGTAGTAGAATGGGGTATAAAATTTTCAAATAAGAATATATTTTCTTAGAAAATAGTAATGAAACAACTTACTATACGAAAGTAAAATTAGGAGAAATTTGTGGTATAGGCAACCTTAAGCAACATACATATTTCATAAAGTGAATACCATAAATATTATTTCTGTATCTCAAGTGTTACAAAAGTATAAATATAATAATTTTAAATTTCTACTTGGGGTTACTGATGATTCTCATTTACATAACAAATCTAACAAAAAACTGAACACACTAGTAGATATTCAATAAATATTAACTAGATGGATAAAGAAAATTTAATTTCACAACAACATTGAAGTGTTAAGTCTTGTTTTTCAGACACAATATTTACCATCCATCCTGTATCACTTCTGGATAAAATATCAACAATTCTATTTCTTTATTTTTTTATGTATATTTTATTGTACTTCAGGTGAAGGCTTACAGAACAAATAGTTTCTCATGAAACAGTAGTACACATG